AATATTCATATTTGCAACATTTCTATTTTAGATAGTATAATTATTAATGTTATTATTACTATTAATATTTTGGAATAATCTTGAATGAACACAATTATTGTAGTTTATTATAGCGAATAACACTTATAATAAATAAATAACAAATACACTGGAAATTTTGACGAAATAGTTTACACACAAAATAGTCATGTAATGACGCAGCGAAATGCGTGCAAAACACAGTCAAAATCTGTGAAAGTAATCGGAAAAGTGTGTGCGAAATGCGTCCTGAGTGATTTCGTTTTTGATTCCTTGGGTTGAGTTACTACCTGCTCCATCTTCAGGATCAACTTTTTGAGTCAGTGAAGGAAGGTTCGATATGAACGTTGGAGGGATGATCCGTCGAAATTCATTGGTCTTATAGTAATTGTGGAGATAGACGATATAACGTGATGGTAGCAATAAGTGTGTTATTGATAATGAGGATATACATGAGGAGGTGGTTTGCTCGAGTGCTCGATTGGTTAGTACGCCTAGCTTTGGTGCTGTCGATGTTGGGTTCGGTTCCGGACAGCGCGCACTTTTTTTGTGGAATACTTGTTGGGATAACAACACATGCATTTGATTTGATTTGATTTGCATCAACAGCAACAAAATATACGGCAAAAGCTGCGCGGTCTTGACGGTGGTGTTTGGTTGGATTGTGACGACGCTATTTGGCTGTATGGCGGCGGTTCTGTGGTGATTGGTGCGATTAAGTTGGTGTTGCCTCGTGCAGCACTCTTTTCGGCATTGTCACCCGCACTCGGCGTGTTCATCTGACCACCGCCTTGCGCACTCGGAGTGTTTATTTGACCAGCTCCTGCCGCACTGCTTCCAGCCACACGTCTTCTAGCAATGGACGATGTAGTTCTACGGCGACCACCACCTCCACGGCGGTACGCTATAAGTAGTGAAATATGTTAGCAAATTTGCGCTTCAAGACGCTTCGCGTCCTGATTTGCCACAAAATATTCAATTACTGGGTTGCCACAAGACGTCCCTAGTCCTGGCTTGCCACAAGGTGGTTCTTCGGTATGGATCTGGAAGATCTGCCAGGGGAGTTCACGTAAAAAGTGCATGAAATTTGCGAATTTCGACGAATTTTTTCAGCAAGTTGAAATTTCAAGCAAGCAACATACAATCTCTAGACGACGACATATCACAACGAGTTCCGTCCAAAACAAGCACAGCCACTGGATGTTCACTAGTCTGGAAAATTTTTGCGAAAATTTTTCATTTCAACAATAAAAATTTCTAGAAGTGTGGAAAAATTGCAATTCTTCTTTTTCAATTTCCAATTCCCACCTTATGATAACGCGATCGAAACGTTCGTCCATAGCGACAATGGCCATAGCGATGTTTGTAGAGAACAAGCGCACCTATAGGATCGCCGAGAACCTGAAGAACAACTTTATCAATTTTATATTTTGAAAAATATTCTCTAATTTTCACCACTACCTGACTCTACCGTTCGGTCTTGAGAAACCTTAAACGTGAATTAACCTATATTTTCCATCCGCACTGCTCTCCCTCTGTTCCCTGTCGACCCAATGCCTGTCGATTGGGTCAACGGGGAACGAGGGGAGCGGGGGGGGGGNACGGACGGACGGACGTACATCGTCACCATCTGGGCCGGTAACATTGACGGCCTGATATCCTCGAGGACCCACGGCCACATCGAATTCCACGTCTTCGTCCTTAGCCAACGAGCGAAGGTACGGCTTTCTGATTGCCGATTGTGCTATTGAACTCTGCAATTAATTCAGAGATCATCGATGCAATGTGCGTTTTCTTGCCGTTCCAATATTCACTATTGATTATACTAAGAAATTAGTGAAAAAATATTGAGCCTAAATTAGCCGTTTTGCACGAACGTCATAGCATTGTAAAAATGCGGTTAAAACTAGAGGAAGAGAGGGGGGCGGGGGGCGATGGGTGGCTGACGTGGTTCTTTCTAGGTAGCTATTTGTTTCTTGCGTTTCATTGCTCTAATGAAATATAGCTGTTAGTGTGGGTGCGTTATTTCTGGCGCAATTAAAACGATTCGCAGTTGGGTACGGTATCTGGTTGGTTTCGGTTCGCAATCTAATTCAACTCATCGTAATCCAACCGTAATCGTTCGGTATATGCGCTCTCCCATGCGTTTTTGGTCAAAACTTAAGCTAAAACGCGGTGGTTTTCTGATTTGTAAGTATCATTTCACTTCTGCAGGAATTTTTCATGGATGTCATATGGTTGTCCACTTGGGAGAAGTGAAAAATTGAAAGAATTAATTGAAAAAAAATTTTGGAAAATTGCAAGAAAAAAAAAGAAATCGAAAAAAATTTTTCGCAAAAACCTGATGAACAAACAGATCTTCACCGGTATCATCACGTTCAATGAATCCATAACGCTTACGAACGTCATACCATCGCACATAACCGCTAACTCCTAAAATATCTTCGCAATCGCGTAAGCTATCGCCTGCATTCAGGTCGGCCTCTTCAAAAGTACCACTTCCCCCCGCACACGTTGTGATTTCGTTACCGGCCACAAAAATGTCTGTTGCCTACCAGTTTCGACAATTTTCAAACAGCCCGACTCCTCACGCAAAATTCGGCGAAGTTGTGAATACGGCATACGTCCGCGTGACAACGAGTCGTACCATGTGTAATGCGGCATTTCGTTGGATTTTGTCCGCCTGACCCCGTGTGTTCACCTAAACTCGAAGATTATTGGTTCAAATTCCCAAATTTGAAACAAAACCGCGTCCGAACTCAGAGAGACAGCTGAAATCCTAAAGTGAATTTGAAAGGAACGGTAGCGGTGACTTAGTTGACAGAAACTATGGCAATCGTGATAGTAGAATTAGTGTAAATTGAAGGGACCGAACAAAGTCACGGATGAAAGTTCGTAGTCAGGACCCCAAAAGCGGCTTGAAAAGTACAGAGACGGGAAATCCGGGAAGAGACTCCTGAAATTCCGCAATCTCGCAACAAACAACTTCTCTGAGCAATATGAATGATCGTAACACTTTTTCTACTGCAAATAGAGGCAATCTAAAAAGTGTATTACAAGGAAACACACTATTAAACTGGTGAACATTGATAGTCATATGTCAAATTTAGCATTAAAAATATAATAAATAACCAAGAATGCGCTTAAGTGATTGGCCACAACTTTATATTCTATTGTAAAGTATTTCAGTATGTATAACACCATTATACTATGACTGTCATCAGTGGCATTTTAAAGTATAAACCAGATAAACTGATAAAAAGTCTTCTTTAGCGCAGTATTGGTTGGTGGTTGTTTTAGGTGAGTGCAAGTTGATAATGTACCGGTGATAACACTGAAAATGTTCAACTGTCTAGAACATCACTTTGAGTTAGTGAAGGTTGTGACTGATATTGCTTGTGTTAATGCTTATCACTGATTAATATGATCATTTTTTAACGATAAAGCAAACATGAACTCTGATGCTTCACAAGCGTGTCTCAAATTCAGATGCTGCTTTTTTGAAGACTTAATTTGTGATGTTTTTATAATTTTAATAGTAGGAGATGATTATTCTTCTTATCATAAGATGCGTATTTCACATCACTGATAATATCGCGCTTGATTATCAGTTCGAATCTTCTACTAATGCTTCATATTGTTCTTTAGTGGGGNTTGTTTTGATGGTAACTGGCTGGCGTTTTGAAGTGAAATATGAGATGGCCGGGTGTATTGGCTAAGGGGAAGAAGGGGTGAGGTGTGGAGGGGTAGCAATTTTAACATCTTGAATGAGAATTGTTATATTCCGTATTGGAGGCGGATTATTGTATCGGTATAAAGCTGCAATAGGCGTACGGTCTGTTTTTGCAAATGCTACAACAAAGAAATAATGCGTTGTATTCATTGACTAATTATTCGGATTATTTGA